TTTAACATTTCTTATGTCGTATTGTCTCAATGGATAAAACATTAACATTTCTTATACTAATATCGCCTTTAGTGTTACTTATTTGGTTGTCGGCTGCGTACTGATATTCTGAGTCATTTTACATGTGTTCGAAACCGCAAGGACAAAAAAACATTTCGAGGTAAAACGGTACCTGTGACGTACATAGAGGGGATGGCGCAGAACTCACTTTTCGAGAGTATTCGCATACGTGTCGGCAATTAACGTTAATATAATTAATTCTGAAATTTTTCTAGAATTGCGGTATATGAGTGGTGTAGATATTCCTTATACTTTTCTTTATTATTTTCTTATATGCATAACACTTATCTTTTATAAATTTCGCAACGAGTAATTATATACCCGTAACCGCGTAACCGAAAAAGATCGAAATTCAAAATCACGGTAGCAGTAAAAAAACTTAAACCGAAACCGAAAGTTGGGTATAGCTTCCGGAATTGGGTATAATTGTAACCGCACTGAAATTTTATTTCTTGGTGCAGCTTGGCGGACAATCTGAAGACGAAGACGAAGACTGAATACTGAAATCGCCAAAGTGACATTTTCATAGACAACGACACTGAGAAAAAAAAGTTGTTAAAATAACTAAATGCGTTTTGTTGTCAGTTTCCCTTTGATTCAATTATATATGTTTTTGAATTAAACATACATCAATAACATGATACATCATTAACATGATATTTTTGTGAATTAACAAGTATTTTGTTGAATTAACAAATGCTTGCTTGACAGCCTGTGACCGTCGCATTTAGTTGAATGAAATAATATTTTTTTAAATCAACAATTTTTTTTTCTCAGTGGACGTCGAGATCTCGGGATTAAATGCACCGATTTCATTCGGACTGAACTCAATCGAAAGCTCGTATCGACATTATGTAATGAAAGTGTCATTAGATCTTTCATTATAACTTTTGTTTCCGAGATATTAAAATTGGAAATCTGACGAGGCAAAAAAGAGATAGAGCTATAAAAGTTGTAGCGCCTCGACAGTGCCTGCAGTACCGTATACTCACAGGTCATCAACCGATTTTTTTTATAAAATTTGAAATGAAGCTGTAAAAGCGATAGCGCTTCGATAGTACCTGCAGTACCGTATACTTACAGGTCATCACCCGATTTTTTTTATAGTAGTACTACAAACACGCGCTATTTGACACTTCTTATTATAATTTACAATAACATCAACCTCAATATACACAAGTGTCAAAATGCAATGACACAGCTTACACGAAGTTAGCGCAGCGAGACAACCAATCAGTATTGCGGAAAAGCGATAACAAATAATTTCGAAAAATGCGAGTTATCAACTTTACATGCACTTTTTTAGATAAGGAGACTAGACAAAACATGCGCGCGCGTAGCGCGCGTCAATACGACACGAATGAAAAAATATGGAAATTGAACGTGACACAATCGAACTTAGAACAATCAATTGGTATCGCGGAAAAGAGGCAACAATGAATTCGATTCAGATACAACTTCAACATAACACGGATTTTTTATTAATAGAGACTAAACAAAACATGCCAATACGACACGACACGGAAGTCGAATGTGACACAATCGAGCTTAGAACAACCAATTGGCATCGCGGAAAAGAGGCAACGATGAGTTTGATTCAGCCACAACTTCAACATAACACGGATTTTTTATTAATGGATGTACACGGAAAGAACAATTTTGCTGGATTCAGATCTAAAAGTAATTTTTGTTCGGTAAAATAATTTTGTGTGGAAGTCAAAATGATTGGTCGATATTAAAACGTTTTATAGTAATGCTTATCAGTTTCAATATTCCAAAATATTTTGACGATTTAACAAAAAATTATTTTCAGATCTGCATTCAGTAAAATTTTTAGACCTTCAACAAAATCGTTCTTTCTATTGTATACTTGGCGTCGCGCCAAGCTATCGCTTCGCTTGATTTACATTTTTATGTACTTGAAAATAAATTAAGTAGGTAATTGTGAAAATAAATTAAAAGTAATTGACAGTTTGGGAAATATTCGGGAGGTGAATACATTAATTTCAGATATTAATGCGGCACGTGTGATCAATTAATAATATACGACACTTAATTCGAAGCCCTCAAATTAAACTTTTTATTAGTTTATCAACTTTCATAATTCGATCTAATTTCAATCGCTTTATCGGAGCTTAATTCATTTGATACTCGAACAATATGATAATCTGACACGGCACGCGGGTGTGTGAATCACTGCGGTTATACTCTTGATACAGAACCTATTTTTTACTCTCAAAGCGAAATTCAATTGAGCTGATTGGCTGAGTTTACAAATTCAAATCGACATTATTCTTCTGCCAATATCGGCCAATATTCCGATCGTGACGTGGTGGCTCTCCGAGTCGCAATTGCTGTCGCACGTAGCCAGCCTCAGCTATTGACCTACACGTGTCACGTGTATACGTGTGCATTGTGTCAAAGCAAGAAGAAGAGAGAGAAAACGCGAAAACGAAAGGCATAAGAGAGGTGCGGAGCATCGTGATTGTGAGAAAGAAATCAAATGTGTGGGTGTGTTTGTGTGTGTGTGTGATGTGTCATGTCATATACACGCGCGCGTTCGCGGATATGTGCGTGTGCGGTGAGAGAGAACACAGCCGTAGAATCGTTTCCGTTTCCCCTTCCTCGCGGCCGCCGCCGCCGCGCCGACCATGTGAGTCCCAACGTTGGGTTTCGTTTGGTACCCGAACACAGAGTCTCCTTCTCTCGGCGACGATGGGCCGGTGGCCTGTTTGCGTCGCGGTCCCAGCCATCAGTGCCGCGCGCGCGTATACGTTTCCCTTCCTCGGCGCTACACGGGAGATTCGACAGACGCGACCTTCGCCAGGGGAAACAAGTGTACCGGAATTGTGCGCGTTTTGTGAAAACACTTGTCGATGTTCCAACTAATTGATGCGTGCGTCCTACATGTATAGGTATATATATATATGTATACAGGTCGGTCGCGATGTTGTAATCTGAAGTTAACGCTGGTACACGCTATACAGTAGGTTGGTACACGCTATAGTTACACACACTGAGCTGCCGCGTGAAACTCCATAATACTGCAACCGCGGCATATTTCTCTCGCTTCTCTGTTCCCATCTGTACACCACTTCACGCCGCTGCAGTGGACCGTCTGACCGGAAGTGGTAAGAGAAATATGTCACGGTTGCAGTATTACGACCGCGAGTTTACGTACAGCGGTGCTGTCGCGTTCACCAAGAAGCCGAGAGCGCGTTAATTCCGCGTAATAACTGCGCTTTTTTTTCAATCGTATATTTGTTTATCACACAAGGCGGGTAGAATCGTTTGAACAGTGCGGTTGAAAGTGGAGTAACTGTTCGACGTACAGGTGTGTGTAAACTTTAAATTTGTTTTATTCTCGTTAATTGACAATACCCGCGAAGCTGTGAAGCTTGTCGGAGACAGGTTTTCTGGGGGTTACATTATTGTTCCTTTCACAAATTTGTTTCACGTTTATTTTCACGCTCCGAGCGAGATAATGCAAGACAAATATTTTCCTCGAAGATAATAGCTTAACTTATCTTTTAGCTTCTCAGTACTGTTTCTGTGCCATAATCCTGTCGTAAATGCGATGAATCATTGAATACTCAGTTTCCATTGTACACTTATTTTCGCGGAATTATATTAATGCACGCGTCCGCTAAACGCGCCGAAATTGCGGAAAAGCATTGCAAATTTCAATTGTACATTATTCCCATAATAAAATCGAATGTATTATTGTGTTTTATTATTAAAAGGTATTAATTATTATATATTTAATATTATATAATATTAAAAAGGTATATTTTATTCATTTAACTTCGTTGTTACAATTGTACAATTATTATTAAATAAAATAGCATGAAATAATTGTTTGCTTTGAAATAAATAAATTTTATTTTAAACGTTGAATATAAATGTAGAATACAGAATATATAAAAATATAGAATTTTGTTATAATTGTGGGATATTAAAGTGCTAAAGTTAAAGCTGAATTGATGAATAAAAATCTAAACAAAGGACGAACTCTTCGGGAGAGAATAAAAAAAATAATTGTGACTTTTGAAATAAATACATTTTATTTTAAACGTAGAATATAAATGTGGAATATAGAAATATAGGATTTTATTATTTTTTAGAATTTTATTATTGCAATTATCGAATATTAAAGTGTGTTAAAGCTAAATTGATTATTAAAAAAAAAAAGAAAAGATGAATTCGGGAGAGAATATAATGTCATACGCGAGGTGTGAAATAATGTCATAAATAAACGTTGACGGATTTCGTGGAAAAAAAAGTGAAAGCATTCCCCATTTAGTATCGACATGACTGGCACAATCGTCCGTCCCGTCGAAAATTTAACAGCATCCGGCTGGTTATTTTACCCGAACCTTCTCTCGCGTGTGTAACACGTCAATTTAAAAGACAGTGATTCTCATAATCGTGCGTATTAGTTACGCGACGCTTGGTAAGTGGCATATATTATATCGGTTGAAAGTGGCGTTCTAAAGTTTCACATAAAAACTGATATGATAATTTGCAATTTGATCGGCGACGCGAGGCAATCTCGTCTAATTCCCGACGTGAAGTGGTACAGTGGGTCAGTTGCGTAGGAGATCAATGTTCTCTAAAGAATAATTGCGTGGGATGTACGTGGATCATTTTTTCTTTAGAGCCTCCTCTTTCAATTACGGCGCCATCCATTATCGTTAAATTAAACGGCGGCAATTAGAGGCACATGCGCAGAAGATTAAAAAAAACTTTAAAAACGATTCGGCGAACAAAGGAGGGTGTATAAAAATGGCCATTTTTCGTCTAGAACTGACACCTTTTAAACTTATAAATTTATCATTTTGAAGATCCAAACATTAGTAAAAAAATTATTATTTACCCAGGAAAGCTCGGGAAACCTTCCAAAAATAATAAAGTAGGCTGTTTGAACGCTTTGCAAAAAAAACTTATTTAACACATTTAACACGTGTTGGACCATTAAATACTGTAAGAATACACTACCAGGAAGATCCACAAATGCGGCAAATATATACATATATATTTAATAAAAAATATATATCTATTATATATAAGTGATAAATGTATGATACATATATACAAATATTTATGTGCAGCTTATCCATTATGACGACAGAAATATAAGTATAATAAATATTATTTATGTGCAAAAATTGAATAATGTGAAAGAATTGAAAAAGTAATTTTTAAAAAATCACACAGTTATATGATTGTGATATTCGATATAGGTTTTAACTGCGTTCAGCGTGACCCGGAATCAACGAACGGAGACGTGACGATTACTGGCTTCATTTTTTGTGTTTTTGTATTTTATTATTTTTTTAATTTTTTATTCTTATTTTAATATTTTCTGTTTTTATATTTTAATATTTCATATTTCTCGGTATTTTTTTATTTATATTATATTTGTTTTCTTTATACATTCTTATATATCTAGTTTTATTAATTTTTTAAATATCATTTTCTTTTTTCTTTCTAATACGCTTCTAAAACATCTGAAGCTTCAATCATCGATAAGTTGCACATAAATATTTGTATATATGTATCATACATTTATTACTTATATATATAGGTATATTTGTGGATTTTCCTGGTAGTGTATTCTTATAGTATTTAATGATCCAACATGTATTAAATGTGTTAAATTAATTTTTTTGCAAAGCGTTCAAACAGCCTACTTAATTATTTTTGGAAAATTTCTCGAACTTTCTTGGGTAAATAACCATTTTTTCATGAATGATTGGATCTTCAAAATGATAAATTTATAGGTTTAAAAGGTGTCGGTTCTAGGCAAAAAATGACCATTTTTATACACCCTCCTTTTAAAGGTAAATATATACGGAAAGAATGATTTTACTGGATTCAAATCTGAAAGTAACTTTGTTATACAATTAAAATAATTTTGTTGGAAAGTTAAACCGATTGCTATTAGAATATCAAAATAACGGTTGAAAAATTAAAAATGTTTATCATTTTTGACTTTCCAACAAAATTACTTTGATGATTCAACAAAGAATTATTTTCAGATCTGTAGCAAAATTTTTAGACCTTCCAGCAAAATCATTCTTTCCGTATATAAGAATAATAGGGCAATAAAGGAGCACTTTGTCGGATTCCTTTTGAAATGCACGTTGCACGTACGCGAGGGACACTTGCGATCGAGGAAACGGTAATTAAAATCCTATTAGAAAACAAATTGAAAGGAGAATACCGCGGGTTTGTTCAAATAATACACGTACGTGACTGGCGTGAACTCTTTAGAATTAAATTCGAACAGCAAGTGGAACATTTAGAATAGGGAACCGAGTATAGCGATAGGAAATTACAATCATAAATTTGCAATCTGTCAGTTTTCATCTGTCAAATTCAGCACTTTATCGCAATCGGCGATCCAAATCTGGTGAATTTAACGAGGAAACGTTGATTAGACGGCATCATGCTAACGACGCTAGCTAATGTACTTTAATTTTGTGCAAAAGACTTGAAATGCAAATCGTGAGAACATTACTCCGCACGTATAAGTGCATGAAAATCGCTTGGAAATTCATTAGCGCAGTAGAATTACCATTGAGCGCTCCGACTTCACAAATACAGCGCCGTGAGAGACACATTTCGAAATACATATCGCCGCATTTGCGCGCATTCGTCTCACGTCGGTTTTCATTTTCATACCTCATATCAGTCATTTTAAATCGCAGTTTTCACACATTTAGTAGAAAAATACTAGTTGAAAGAAGAACTGAATAATTCATCGTTATACACACGCAATATGAAAAATTTAGATTTTATTTAATACGCGTAATAATTCTTAGTTTCCTAATATTTTAATTTGTAAACGAACGTTGTTTCTTAATATTTTATTTTGTAATGCGTATCATTTGTTTCTCAATCTCTCATGGTAGCTTCCAATAATTTATAATCTAAAATTTCAAAAGTAAAAATTTTATAATTTTAAAATTGTGATTTTTAAAAATGTGTGTGTTTGAATTAAAAATTTAACAATAATAAATTGAACCACTATGTAAATAACGCAAACAAAAAAAAACGTCTTCAACAGTCGAGGCTTTTGATGCTTTCTAATGAATGATTTCTATGTAAATTATAGAATCATTTTTTATTTAAACTGCGCGCTGATTACTCATGTCGGATTTACAACGCAAACAAAAAAAAGCTGGAATAGTAGGATCATAAATTAAATTGATCCTTAATTTAATAATACTGAGATGCTAAATATTATTAGGCATCAAGATGCAGCCTTGACCATTAAAGGCGTTTCTCTATTTAATTGTGTTAAAAATTTGTAATGTAACATTTTAAAATTCTAAAATTTCAGTTTATTTCTTTTCAAAAATAATTTGAATACAAAGTTTTATTTTATATTAATATATATTTAATTAAATTGTAAAATTTAATTGTAATTTAAAAGTAAATTGTTTGTATTTAAAAAATTTCAAATTATAATTTTTAAGAATTTCAAATTTTTGAAATATGAAAATTTAATATTTCATTTTATCTTTAAAATTATTGTACCTAAAAATCTTTTACGTAAAACTTTATTTCACGTGTAATTAATATTTCTATGCTTCAGATAGGAAGAAGAATACATTATAGTTAAATACAGGAAGAAGAAAGTTAATTGCTTTTATCAATTAGCGTTACAAAACTTGCTTTATTTATGTCGTAAATATAATACGTTTCTTAATCGCGTGAGTTAGTCTTGACGAAAGTATTGTGTATTTCACCGCGCTGCACATATTATAGCATTAACGTTACACTAATACATATAATCGCTTTCACGTTTTACTATAGTCTTACAGTTATTGTTAAATAGATCAAACACGTTCCGTGCTCCGGTATCGTTATACTTTTACAAATGGAGAAATGTGGTGATTCAGCACGATTCCAACCGACCACGAAATAGGAGAGCAAACGCGAGATCTGGGCGAAGTATTACCAATGCGGTTTTATAGTCTCTCTTGCGGTTCTGTCTCCTCCTACGCGCGGCGGAGAAAATTCTCTTCTCGAAATTCAGCCAAATAAAAATAAAGAGGGTCCCGAGGGCCAAAAACAACGATTTCGAACGAAAGATTTATAATTGTGAAACGCGGAAACGCGGAATTTATATATCATCGCAGTCTCGCCGATATTGGAGTTCAAAAATTTATGGTTGAATTACTCCCGAGGGACAATATCGCTTACTGCACGTAAACGTATCGTTGAAACTCCGACTCGTATCGATTATTGTTCAACTGTAGGTGCAAGAACAATGAAAATTCCAGCAGATGACAAATATTCTGTACCTCATGCAATTGCGTATATCATATACAATTGATGCCAGCTACGCGGCACCCAACGGCGACTGCATGGTCGCGCGTGCACGTGCCTCTGTATCTCTGTATCGCTGCGACGAGTGCAGTTGTTAGAACGCTTGGAATACCGAGCATTTTATATGCACACACGAACACGTACACTTGCCCGTGCATCATCCAGGAAACGCGTTGCATACATACATATATCTTTCCATCATCAGCTTGTCCGCACGTGCGTTAACGAGTTCCGATCAGCTGCAGACAATGCATTTTAAATGTTTTTATAAAAATATATTTATTTTACATTTGTAATATATTAAATAAATAATTACCCGATGTGCAGGTTGAAACGTTTGCTGTCTTAATTCATTGCTAATTCAAAGTTTATTTTTACTTGGAGCATTAAGGGAGCATATAAACATTTATAGCACGTTAAAACAAGGTCTAACTTTGTGAATTTTTTACGAAAAAACGAAAAGAAAAGTCGGGTTTGTTTCATTGAAAGGATCATATTTTTTTCTTTTTAAATATATATATTTGATAAAATGATTTAAAAAATGGCTTCACTATTTAAGTTTTTCCTAGTCGTGTTTTGAAAACGGCTTTTGCGGTGACCACTGCTGCTCTTACAGGACTTATTTGACAGCAAAATGCAACGAGTTATGTAAAGTTAAAACATAGATCTACTTCCCTACGTAGTTTTTCACAATATTGCATTTGAACAATATGGCAGCTGGTCAAAGTCAACATAGCGATTTATCACTTTGAATCTTGCTCGTTTTTTGACTGCGAAAAAAACGAAGCATCGTAAAAAAAATCCTACGTAGGGAAGTAGTTTTTGATGTCTAGAAAAAGCGTGTAAAATTGCAAATTAATCGGTCAAACCCTCGGTCAAACTATTTTTGGGATACAGTGGTCACGCGTTTTGAAAACCTGCATGTTTCTCGAGAAAAACGCGTTTAAAGTTTTACATTCAGATTAGACTACAAAAATATTAAAAATTTTATTTACATTAAATCATCTACTCCATAAAGCAAAACCCTCTACTGAAGTGGATGCTTCCAAAAAATCGCTTTACGATCCGGTCGCAGACATGACGCGCAACAGATCATGTTTGACGCGCTCAGCGCGCTCGAACCTACTCGATTATAATTTCGTGTAATTGTTTCATCTTTCGTCGGATCGACTTAAAATTGTACAAAAACATTCTTAGGACATTATACTTTAAAAATACGTATTAAAAAAATAGATTTTTTTACCTCTCTAGATGTATATGCCCCTTTAAATATCGTGCTTTGTCTCGCAGTCCTTACTTATTTATTAAAATTTGTTTAATTGTCGAGCCGAATGTTGTTCAGTTATATTATGTTAAATAAATATTTAAAAAACATCGTTGATTGGAATCGCACGGTGCTATGTGTTATGAGATAACACAGCGCGATATGAGACTGATTGCGCGCTGTCCCTTTTGCAACAGCGAAGCGGTTAATGGGAAGAGACATAATAACGTATTCGGTTTTCCATTTTCCTGAATAAAAGAAATTTGATGCTACATTTTCCTGAAACTCTGTACTTGCGACACTCTTTATTTCTCTTCCTGCACCGTCAAGAATTTACTATCGCTCTTCCTGACATTATATTTAAATTCTAATGTAAATTTCGTGTGCATATATAATATCTCTCGACATTCGCGATATCGCGATACGAAATGACTTTCCGTTTACCCGTGTCTTGGTCGATTTAAACGGAGTTTATACTCAATTTCGCAAACGTATACGAACTTAAAGCTGAACTCTTTTTAAGATCGTTATTTCCGCGCAGGTATAAGTAAAACGTCCGTCATGCTCTGACGTCTGATTTCTCTGAACGTCAGCTCCTTATACTAATAAGTGAGTCTTTACTATTCGAGTGATCATTTCATTATCGGAATTGTCATGTCACTCGATAAAAATAAACGAGGATTTTATATGTAGGTATCTTATCGTTTTTACTTAACATTGTTCTACGATTACAATAGAATGTTTCGTCGGATAAGAAAATCTTCCTCGAAGTCTCGTTCAGTCCCGTTCCGAGAGTGACAGGTGGAATACAGCCGTAGTACATACCTACCTGCAACACTGCAGAGAAATCGATCGCATTCCCCGCATTCTTTGCGGATTCGCGATTTTCTCATAGACAACATTCCTGTAGCCGTAAGTCCCGACAGCTTCCGAAGGTGAAATCACGTAACTCGAGGCGCTCGTGAAAGTTTTATTTATGCATATGCCGTCTTTTTCTTTTTCTTTTTCGGGCGAATTCTCGTAACCGCGCGGAATCAGTGAAAGTTATAGGTATAAGTTTCGCGTCGCCCATCTCTGTCGACCTCTTCGCTCTTCGGCTCGTGTCTCCTTTACGGTTCAATTGGCGAGTGATTTAATCATACGCGCGGCGGACCATCAACGGGAGCAATTAATCGGCAAATGTGTTGAATCGACTAACTCGAAACAATTGTCGCTAATTAGGTACACGACCGACGTGCAAGGTACACGTCGAGTGTCGACGTCGCGCTATCCGTCGATCCGGTCGTTCGTGAAAACGGTTAAAAAAATTATTATGTTAAATTGACACATCTCACATGTCCCGAACGGGGTCCGCTCAATTTTTTGTCTTAATTTAACGCAAGATGATTATGTATGTTAGAAAGTAATACAAAAACGTTATGTAAAAATGAACACAGAAAATGTTCACACTTTAATGCAATTTGGAAACAAATTGTGGAAACGTTATTCTTCAGTAAAATTAACGCTTATAAATGTGTAAAATTATCAAGTTTATTTATCTTTTATTCATTTACCTTATATACACGGAAAGAACAATTTTGCTAGATACAGATTTGAAAATAATTTTTGTGCAAAAATCAAAATGATTGCTAGAATATCAAAACATTTTATAGCAATGCTTATCAGTTTTAATATTCAAACAAATTATTTTGATGATTCAACAAAAAATTATTTTTAGATCTGTATTCAGCAAAATTTTTAGACCTTTCAACAAAATCGTTCTTTCCGTGTAGGATTTACGGTTTAAAACTACTTTATTTTTACGCCATTTACTCGCTTACTTATGTAAATTGTGTTATTTTGACACTGAGAGAAATATTGAATATCAATTTAATACAAAATAATTTAAATAACATAATCACGTTGTGTTAATTTGACAAACAAATGTGTTAAAAATTCGACACAAAGTTTTAACGTGAGTGGACCGTTTTTAACATAAATACAAAAAAACGTTTTTTACTGTTTTGGTGTGTGTGTGTGAACGTTAAAAATATCCGCTAAAGATAATGAGATATGTCAAATTAGCGCGATAAAATTGGCAGAGAGTTATTCTTCGGTATTTGCAGCGTATATATACATACGTTCATGGCATTGAACGTTAACGTTCGTGACGCAATAATTCAGCGATTTAGCTGCAACTATACGCAACCTTCCTCACGGTTTTCCCTCACCGCCTCTGCTTCCTCCTCGCGTTATCTCGAGTTGTAATACAATAGGTATGTCATATATATATATATATATATATATCGCGTTCGATGAAATTCGCACTTGGAGAGATTCTTATCTCTTTAATGAGTAAACATGTCGGCGAGTAATCGCGTTATCGCGCTCGAGCGGAACGCGGAGCGTTTTCAGGGACAAAGCGCGGAAACGAACGGCGATTGGAAAAAACAATCGGCGCGATTGTTTAGGTATGCTCTCTCGGTCGAGGAGCAAACAATGTGACAAAGCCGCTCTTGGCGGAATAGCTCGAGCCGCGATGACTCGCCGAGAGATATTGTCGCTCGCGCGCTATATACGGGCATTCCCTCTCTGTCATTCTGTTCTTTGCTTTCAGTCGGCAAGGCCAATAAGGGGCTCACAAAACTGAATGGATACTTCGGCGTCGCGGTCGCTCCTAGGAACTCGTAGTTTATCTGCGTTATGGCTCCTCCTGTTACTATCGCCCGCCGCCGTTCACGCCTCGTACAGCATCGGCGTCGGAAGGGCCGACAGCACGGGGCCGGCCGCAGAGATTGTCTTCGTTAGTATCCTATACACATTGAATTTGTAATGCCTCGAGATAGAAAATCAATTATAGTTTTCAAAAAAAACTGCTTTTTTCAAATTGCTGGAAAAAAACCAGAAAATTTTCGGTTTCTTTCCGAAAAATTGTTTTTTTTTTTGCGAAAAATGGCTATGTAAATGATATACTACCTAATTTTTAATATTTTTCATGATATTAAATATAAATTGGGATTCAGAAAGTAATGTAAGTGATATATTTTAATTTGCTCGTTAAAATGTGTAAATCTTTTTATTTAAATTAGATAAGCTTATAACTCTTATAAGTTACATAACTTTCGTACTTTATAGCATTATTAAAATAAGACACCTCGTATAAATGTTGGAATTAATAATGAGTTAATTTTTATGTTTACATTTGAATACTATATTCTTTGAGGTGAGAATTATTTAATATTAAATAAACTTTTAGAAAACGCAATCCTAACAACTAGTGTAAAGATTAATTTAAGCTGATATTTATATTAAGTATTTTTTAAGAGTTTTGATTATTAATAATTGTCAAGAGCCATACACGTTTTATTTGAAAAATACTCTGTTTAACTCTGTTTTTTTAAATTTATTTTTATGTAATTTGCTTTTTATTTCTTTAGTATTTAAAGCAATAAATATATGCTAATTGTTATAAAATTTTTAAATGTGTATTATAAAGTGTATTATAAAGTGTTGCAAATGTAAAATGTGATAGGTTTGACGAATATGTACGTGAAATTTTCCATTGAATTTTTCTATCTTTTAAAAAAGAAACCGAAAAAATCCGCAGAAAAATGGAAAAGAACCGGTTTTCTTTCCAGCATTTAAAACTACAGAAAATCTCAAGAAAACGCGTGCCAAATTGATATTTTGGGTTAACAATGGGGGAAAAAATTTATTTTCGTCAGAGATATCTATTATGCCGGGGAGGTGAAACCATGAAAAACACATCTCGTTTCCCTCCTCCCCCTCCCCCCAAGCTTTTATTTGAAAACGTTAAAAAGGTTACGTATGTATTTTGCGATAATTAAAACTAGACAGACGAAAAGTATAATAAAAGTCGAAACAATGAGGCCTTTTGAATGAATTTAAATAGCTGTTATGTGCAATTTCACAGATGGGATACGCGAATATAGAGCAGAAAGGGACTGGCATTCACCTTCGAACCTTTGCCAGAGCCTTCATAATTGACGATGGCGTGGAAAGGTTCGTGTTTGTCAACGTGGACAGCGCGATGATAGGCAACGACATTCGACAGGAGGTAACATATATATATATTCTTAATTATATTATGTAAGTTACAATTCTAATATCGATTTTTATATGAGAAAGACGGATTGAATATTTGTCTCGTACAATTTTTGATGTAATAGTAATTTAATGTTAATGATAATATCCTGGATAAGATAAATGTAAAGATAGTGACGGATAAAAATCTTATATGGAACACGCATTTTATACAACGTATCGTTTCTGTTTCTTTCGTTTACGAGCAATTGTGCGCGATATTAAATTTGATCTTTTCTTGAAATGTTCTTTCTAAAGCTATCATATTTTCTATTTAGTCTCATTAAAATGTAATAATTTAGAGAATATTAAAAATCAACAATAAATAAAGGAGCATAGCTGAAATCAGTAATTAAGCAGGCCGTGCTGTAAAGATTTTTGTTTTGTGTATTTATGTCTGTGTATGATAAAATTAACATATACAGGGTGGACACTAAGTAATGTAAAAGGTTTTAAGGGTTCCTCATACAAATTCAAGACGAAAATTTTATATCAAATATCCGAAACGACTTAGTTTCAAAGACAGGTTATTAAAAGTGCAGAAAAAAATTTTACTGTTTTCTAAAAATTTCAAAAACCACTCGGATTATTTTGATGGAGCTTTGTGTATGTTTCAAAACTAAGCTTTTGGACATATAATCATATGAAGATCTCGTCTTTGTATGCGAAATCACTTAAAATCTGTTACATTGCTTACAAGGAAATCTCGCGAAGTGTTAAATTATGATTTCAATGAAACTTGTATACTTATAACTTGCGTAAATAGATGAATTTAAAAAATATCAGTTGATGCTAAAAAATAATTTGAAGGGGTGAAATTATCCCTCATATTTAAAGCAATTTTCAGTTATATTCTTTTCGTTATATCTCGAAAATTATTGATATGTTTATCTTTTATCATATATCATTATTTCTATTCATATATCAACAAATGTTTTATACCAAAATTTTACAGTAAAATTATCTCTATTTATTTACATTAATAGTATTTTTTAAAAATAATAATTTTAATAAAATTTTTTAAAAATAATTATTTTTAAAAAATATTATCAATATCTTGAATAATTTTTGAAATATAACGAAAAAAGTTAAATATTGCTTTACTCTAAAAGATGATTTCAAAACTGTTCTCCTCCCCATCACTGATATTTTGTAAATTCATCTGTTTACGTAACCTGTGTATACATTAAAATCAGAACTTGCTTGACGCTTAATTTTGATACAAAACAAGTTATATATTTATCGGACGATTGTTTTAATGCATTCTGATAAAACACTATTATTTTCACACGTGGAAAGCGATATCTAACTTTTTTCGTTATATCGCGAAAATTATTCAAATAAAAAAATGTTTTATACAAAAATGTTACGGTAAAATTATTTCTATTTATTTTGTTAATAATTATTTTTTTAAATTATTGAAAATAATAATTTAAAAAAAATACTATTAACGTAAATAAATAAAGAGGTAATTTTACTGTAAACTTTTTTACAGTATAAAACATTTTTTTGATATTTTGAATAGTTTTCGAGATATAACGAAAAAAACTTAAAATTGCTTTACATATAAGTGGTGATTTCACCCCTTCAAACCGTTTTTTAGCACCAATTCATGTTTTTTAATTTCATCTATTTATACGTAACCTGTAAGTGTACAAAATTTCATTAAAATCGGAATTTAACACTTTGCGAAGTCCCCTTGTTAGTATTCACTCTGTATAAGATATTTAGTTTTTTCTTTCATCCCCGAATCTTTTTGCTCGTCAGACAATGTTATGTTGTAATATGATAAAATAGAAACCTTGAGAATTCTCACAGTTCATATATTCAAGATAATATAAGAAAAATTACTTCGATCGTTTTTTACGTATTTTTTTCTAATGCCTTACAGTTTCATAACTCATACACGTTATCTTTCTAAGTCATTTTAATATTGCGACTTTTATCAGTTCGTCTTTGTTTGAGAAGAGCACAATTTCTGTGCAATATGGAACTAAAAAAAAATTATAAATGTTTTTGTGAATTATCTGATAATGGAATACAATGCATAATGATAATATCCCATGGATAAGATAAATGTAATGATAGTACAATATACGGATAAAAGTCTTATGTGGAATTCGCACTTTATATAACGTGTCGTTTTTGTAAATTTTTTCTTTTATTTTCAAGCAATTGTGCGCGATATTAAATTTTATCTTTTCTTGAAATGTTTCTAAAGCTATCATATATTTTCTATTTAGCCTCATTAAAATGTATAATAAGTTAAAGAATATTAAAAATCAACAATAAAGGAGGATAGCTGATATAAGTAATTAAACAGAGCGTGCTGTATTATTAAAATTACATCAAATACTAACAGAGACCTCTCGACTTTCAATTAGGTCATCCTCAGTATAAAGTATAAAGTTATAAAATAAAATTTGAAGTAACTGTAACGTCGAGCAGAGTCTGTGATCAGATTCCCTCGAGACGTCAACCGCGATGAAATTAACCTTTTATTGTATTACTGACGGAATTAATTCGGTTGACATCTTTATGGAATTTGATCACAAGATCTTTACAATACAAGACCTTGACAATACGGTTAATTTAAATTTTATTTTGCGACTTTGTGTATTATACTAATAATAATCTAATCAAAACATCTGGGTATATTAATATTTCGTATAAACTTTATAAAAAGCACATAACTGGCTCGGCTCGTATGTTCCTTTGTTATAACATTTAATCGTTCGAGCCTTCGAATTAAATTCAATTTCATTTTTTTAAAGAACATTATCATATTATTTGAATTTGCAAATTCATGAAGATACGAAGATAAAAAAAAAACTTGAGTAGCGAAAATGAAATCTTTAATTTATAACGAAATTTTAAAATACATATATTTTATTTTTTAATAAACGTATATTTTAATATAATACGAGTATAATAATATTCTGAAAGGATAAAAAAAACAATCGCTTATCTGCTGTCGAATTTTAAAATCAGTCATAAAAAGGCACAGCTAGGTGTTAACATTAATTTAAATTTTAAATTTTTTCGCCGTGTCTTTTGTAACGCAAAAATTCAAGCGTCAGCTATCGTTTATTCCGGCACGTGCGTGCTGAGGGTAAATGCACGCAAATTCGCCGCGAGAAATTGCGATTACGGGGGATCGTTTGTGAGATCCGCCGCAAAACACCGCGCTCGTCATTATCGCAGCGACGTTAATCGCGGTCCTTCCTGCCGCAGGTACTGCGTAAATTGAAGACCCAATTTGGCGATATGTACACGGAGAGGAACGTGATGATTAGCGGCACGCACACGCACTCGTCCCCCGGCGGCTTCATGCTGGATGTGCTTTTCGATTTGAGCACATTCGGCTTCGTCAGGGAGACATTCGACGCGATCGTCGACGGCATAACGAACGTGAGTATATATGTGTACATAGATGCGCAAGCCCGCGGTCGTTATCGACATTGTACGGTCGAACGCCTCTCCCGATCCAAGATAATAGCCGGTAATAACGACTGGACATTTGTTTTCTGACATCCGCAGAGCATCCAGCGTGCCCACAATGCCGTCGTGCCTGGAAGAATCTTTATCACCCACGGGGAGGTTTTGGACGTGAACATTAACAGGAGCCCGCAGGCATACATTAACAATCCGAAATCGGAAAGAGATAAGTAAGTGAGATGGGGCGATTAGAATTCCGCCGAGACGATCCTCAAGGATGATCGCAAATTTTGCAGAAAATGCGTCCTTCGCCGAAATACAGGTTTCAATAAGGACGAGTGCATTTAGAATTTTAGAACATTAGTTCGATTAATACGAATTAATTTAATTAATTAATACGAATTAATTTAATGAACACGAACGTTAGTACATTTTAATTCGAATTTTAGAACATTAGTACGTATAATTACTATAATTAGACATGGAGAGACGATGATAATTACTGTGATCGTAATTGTTTAATAATCAACTTAGCGAGAGAAACAGAGTATTATTCTCAAAAAAATATAAGGACAAAGAGGCCGAGAAACGGGCACGCGATTAATTGGATGTCAAAAATTAAAACTTTAACATCATTATACACAAAGAAACCTAGAAAATTTTTGCGCTACACGGAGTCATCTTCAGCCAATAAAACCGCGAAATGAATTATAATTCAATAAAACGAATAAATATATATAAACCACGAAGTCAAAAATAAAAAGTAAACAATTAAATAATCCAATTAATTAAAAACATGTCTAAAGGTTAAAGAGTATTATTATTATTATTATTATTATTATTAAATTATTATTATTATAAGAGAGAGTAGATGCGAAAGACACTATTTATAACATTACCGGTCAACTTTGCAGCCTGGTTACTGCGTACGTTCTCAAATAACACGATTGAATTCACGTTGCTTACTAAGGGAATTGTCGAAATGCGCTCGCGGCGCACTGAATATTCGGCGTATTCCGGAGGTTTATTAATTTCTCGGAAATTCATAGAAGCAAATCGCGTGTACGGATTGCGTATATACACGATGTACAACACGATCGGCGACGTGTGTTTGCACCGCGCGAGCCTATTAACAAACGTATGCATTCCGGGAAGGGCGAAGTTCGGAATATGCGGTGCCAACGCGCGTGTGCGCGTGTCCTGCACCTACTGTCCCGCGCGGCGCTTAAATCGATCTCCACGACGACGTACGCCGAGGATGTGAAATAATACGGTGACGACAGCCATGCGCCGGCTTCGAGTTGTCGATATCCTTTCGCGAGGAGGGGGGAGGGGGAGGGAGGGAAGGGGGGGGAGAAAGGAAAGGAAGTCGATGCAACGCACAAAATTAATATTTCCACTTTTCCAGGTACAAATACAACGTGGACAAGACGCTGACGCAGATGCAATTCATCGGCGCCGACGATAAGCCCCTGGGCGTTATAAATTGGTTCCCCGTGCATCCAACTAGTATGAACAACACGAATCATCTGATCTCGAGCGACAATATGGGCTACGCTTCGGTCCTCTTCGAGAGAATGATGAATAATAATGCCATGGTCGGCAAAGTGAGTTAATAAGGTTTCTATAAATACAAAAAGTGATACGCGCGCATCGCTTCCTGATAAACGAGAATGAATTAAAATCGATTCATTCTCGTTTTACTGCAGGGTAATTCATAAATTAAAGAAAAAAATTCATTTCAACGTTCGCAAATGCGTACTTCTCTCTGAAAATCTGAATCCCATTTCAATACCCGATGCCCCTTTGTCATTCATTTGAAAGAAATTGCATGAATCACATTAATTTCTGTGTGCCGTTCAATCCAAAAGAAATTCAGCTTTAAAAGGTAAATCGTCAATATGCTGGTTAATTCAAAATTCTAGATGGAAAATGCTGCTTTTCAATCTAATTAAATTAAAAAAAAAAGTTTTTTGTGAAAATGGACCATGAATGTTATTCAACTAAATCCAAATAAAATATTTTTTTTATTCAGATGGATTGAAACAATTGTGCATTTCCTAGTCACAATTTTTGTCCTGGTCACAATTAATACAATATATTAATATTATATTAAGATTATATTAAAAAATATTATATTATATTCGTATTATGAAATAGAAATTCATTCATTTAAATCCAAATGAAATATTTTTTGGATTTAGATGGATTCAAACAACGAATAATTAAAACAATTTCCTAGTCACAATTAATACAATATAATAATATTACATTAATATTGTATTAAAAATATTATATCATATTCGTATTATGAAATAGAAATTCATTCATCTAAATCCAAATGAAATATTTTTTGGATTTAGATGGATTGAAACATTGCATTTCCTAATCAGAATTAATACAATATAATAATATTATATTAATATTGTATTAAAAATATTATATTATACTCGTATTATGAAACAGAAATGCATTCATTTCCACGGAGGCTAATCCATTTCAATCTATACGAATAAAAAAATTTTAATCCATTTTAATCCTTTCCCGTTTACTGGGTTGGGCTGAGTAACGGCGCGATTTTGCAATATAAAGGCTACTACCACTTGAGCTGGAATAGAAAGACCCTTCATGGGAGTGGGGAGAATACAAATCTAGACAATAGAAACTCCAAAATCGGACTAAGACGTTTTAGAGAGGTCTGTAAGTTGTCTTAAAGGCTTATTTGCGAGAAACATTTAAAAGACGTCTTACGTCTCGATTTTAGACTTTGTGTTGTTTGGAAAGATACGTACCACTATGGACGGAGGGGGGGGGGGGGGAATGGCGCTTGCCTTTTCTTCTGCCCTAAATTTTGGCAAGGATCAGAAACAATTAAATTGTGAAAACCATCTTTTTGACAAAAAGAAAAGAAGCTGAAACAGGAAGTCTTAAGAAAGTTCACTGAAAATCCTCGAAGAGAATCTGGCTTTATAAGTATTTTAATCAGTTTTGCGTGAAAATAAATCTTTGAATAAATCTCCCTCCCGCGTTGAAATCCTGAATATGTCCATGAGCCGTTTATTGTTAGATTTAATCGTAAAAAGATTAAAAATAATATCACTTGGGTTTCGTTTTTCAACTTGACTCAACAGTTGATTCAACAGTTTTTCTTCGAGGATAATAAATACCCTGCTGAACGTGACAACAAATGTATACTTTATTATATTTTATCATATAAACGTACACACGATGTGAGATTTGCTATTTATTTTTACTATACAGCTACGCGCCGTTGACTTGGTGCTTAATTTACTATGAGAAAAATCGCGAATGAATTAACAACTGTGAATAACTTCGAATCCACGGCGCAGCCGAGGTGCAGCGGATTGCGAAATATTATCTCAGTGCCACGTCCCAATTTTAAATAAATTATTTCAACGAGCATTACTTGTAAATTACTGCACATCGCGTGCAGATAGCAGTTTCACGAGCCGCACACGGAGAGAAGATTGCGTGTGCTTATTATTATTATTATTATTATTATTATTATTATTATTATCGTCTCTTTCCTTTTCAAATTGTATCCATTTGACCTTCCTATTGTATAATGTTTGCACTGCCGCGCGTTTTTGCTTTTCTCTTTCTTCTTCTTTCTTTTTATTTGCCTATTATTTCTCAAGCGCATGCGATGATTGCAACCTATACATTTACATATATTAATTATTTTTTATTCGAGTCAGAGGGCTCGAATGCAAGAAAAAAGAATCTCGGATGCGCGTGTGACAATGTAAATATTTACTACGAGAACATATAGAACACGTAGAAAA